GGGAAGTTTTCTGTTAGCAAGTCTTCAATGATCCTCTGTGTGTTTTTCATTTTCTCTCCCTGTTCTGGAAATTTGATCACATGCGAATTTTTGCTTTTGCTTGTATCCCGTAGTTTCATCATTTGTCTTCATTCTTTTCTCTGATTTTTCTTCAAAGAAAAGGTATCCAAGGATTTGTCTTCATTTTCACTGATCCTGTATTCTATTGTTTCAAATTTGCTCCTAAAACCTTCTATTGCACTGTTCGCTTTTGAAATCTTGTTGATTATCTTTTGGATTTTTAATTGCTGTTTTTGTATGATTTCTAGTTGTTTGATTGTTTTGACAGTTTGTTCCTGTATTATTTTCCGGAATTCTTCCTTTGCTATCTCTGTTTTCCTGATTTTTTGTGTGTTTTCCATGATTTTGTCTTTTTTTCCCCTTATTTTTTTTGTCTGTGTTTTCCTTCATTTCTTGGAGAGCCCTGAATATTAGAGTTTTTAATTCCCTATCAGGAAGTTTCAGTGTCTTTTCCCCTACCAGAACGTCATCTGGTGTTTTTTTTTTTTTTTTCTTTCTGGAGGCATCCTGTCCTTTTTTAAAAATATGTTTTAATATTGTCTACTGTCTTCAGGACGTTCAGGAATTATTTTCTTCATTTATTGATTGTAGATTTGTTTATTTCTTCCTGCCTTTTTGTTTTATTTGGTTATATCTGGGCAGGCGGGCTGGGCATGCTTTGTTGCTTTGTATTCTGTGGCCACAATACTTTTCACCAACTTGTCCAGGTGGACAGGGCCAGTCCCTCAGTTATGGTGCAGCACGGCAGGTCCAGCAAGGGAGGAGGTGAGGGGGGGATCTGTGGTTTGCAGCACATACTGGGGCTGACTGGGAGGGGTTGAGGGCAGTTCAGGGCAGGGTCCAGTGGTCCTTGCCAGTGCTGCTTGGGGGCATGGTGCTCAACACACGGTGTAGATAGGCTGGAGGGAAGGGAGAGGATGTGATTGATAGGTCTGTGAAGTTGCTTTCCCATACTTCCTGTCTGCCGTCCTTGGTGGTTGAGGTCCAAGATGGCAAATTCATGCCTCATTAGCTAGTAGAGGACCTCCACTCTGTAGCTCTCCTCATTCTCTGTTTTCTGTCATTTTCTTATTCCTTTCTATGCTTAATCAAGTTCTTTATCCCTTCATTTGATGCTTAGGGTTCCCGGATTGACTTTTGTATCTGTTTTACTTAGTTTTTCTGTTCTTTGCTGCAGAGAAATAGCATGGTGCTTCTGTCTATAGAGCCATGTTGGCAGACATCTTTGCTTTTTATCACTTCAAAGAGGTCTTTTGCAGCAGATTTGCCCAATGAAATATGTCATTTGATTTCCTGACTGCTACTTCAATGGCTATTGATTGTGGATCCAAGTAAAATGTAATCCTTGACAACTTCAATATTTTCTCCATTTATCACGATGCCACTTATTGGTCCAGTTGTCAGGATTTTTGTTTTCTTTATGCTGAGGTGTAATCCATACTGAAGGCTCTATTGGTTGGTCTTCATCAGTAAGTTCTTCAAGTTCTCTTCGCTTTTGGCAAGCAAGGTTGTGTCATCTGCATATTGCAGGTTGTTAATGAGTCTTCCTCCAATCCTGATGCCACAGACTTCTTCATAGAGTCCAGTTTCTCAGATTATTTGCTCAGCATACAGATTGACTAAGTGTGGTGAAAGGATACAACCTTGATGCACACCTTTCCTGTTATATCCCCTTGTTCTGTTCGAACGGCTGCCTCTTGGTCTGTGTACAGGTTCCTCATGAGCACAATTAAGTGTTCTGGAATTCCCATTCTTTGTAATGTTATCTATAATTTGTTATAATCCACACAGTGAATGCCTTTGCATAGTCAATAAAACATGGGTAAACATCTTTCTGGTATTCTCTGCTTTCCGCCAGGATCCATCTGACATCAGCAATGATATCCCTCATTCCATGTCTTTCTTCTGACTCTGACTTGAATTTCTGGCAGTTCCCTGTTGATGGACTGCTGCAACCACTTTCAAATGATCTTCAGCAAAATTTTACTTATGTGTGATATTAATGATATTGTTCGAGAATTTCTGCATTCTGTTGGATCACCTTTCTTCAGAATGAACACAAATTTAGATCTCGTCCAGTTCGTTGACCAGGTAGCTTTCTTCCAATTTTTTCGGCATAGATGAGCGAGCACCTCTAATACCACATCCATTTGTTGAAACATCTCAATCAGTATTCTTTCAATTTCTGGAGCCTTGTTTTTCATCAATGCCTTCAGTGCAGCTTGGAGTTCTTCCTTCTGTACCATCAGTTCTTGATCATATGCTACCTCCTGAAATGGTTGAATGTTGATCAGTTCTTTTTGGTACAGTGACTGTGTATTTGTTCCATCTTCTTTTGATGCCTCCTTCATTGTTCAGTATTTTGCCCATAGAATCCTTCAGTATTGCAACTTGAGGCTTGAATGTTTTCTTCAGTTCTTTCAGCTTGAGAAATGCTGAGCGTGTTCTTCCTTTTTGGTTATCTAACTCCAGGTCTTTACACATTTCAGGACTGGGCATTGTTTTGTTCTGTTGTTCATAGGGTCGCTACAGAGTCAGAAACAACTCAACGACACTTAACTACAACAAAAGGAAGCAAAATATTGTTTATTGGGCCAACTATATTAAGAAATAACAGGCTTGAAAATGATGCAATAGCTTGTCCATTTTTCTTGATGATCTTTGAATCTGCCTCACTGTTTTCCTGTAAATCAAATTCTCTGTCAACATCTTCAGCAACATCAATAGCAAATATTGGTTGAAAAAGATAAAACTTGAATATTGACATTGATAAGCTTTCAAACACCTGGCCTTATAATACAGGACCCTCTTAATATAAACATTTTTTTATATCTCTTTCATTACTCAACTTGCTGCAATCTGCTTGTCTCCCCATACGACTCCTTTTTTCAAAGAATCTCCCGATCACCGAATTCAATGCTTTTCAATCTTCTTTCTACTCAACCTCTATGAGACCATTGATATAACTCCTCTTTTTTTCTCAAATTTCTCTTTTCTTGATTTTAGTAATACAATACTATCCTGATTATGTTTTTGAATGTTCTTTAAATGGATCTATTTTCTCCTCCAGCCCCCGCATTTAGCTATTTCTCAACACATAGTCCTTGTCCATCTTCCTTTCTTTTTTTTTTTTTTTTCAATTTTCTCACTTAACTACATCTTTTATTTCTATGGCTCCATACTTTTTAGCCTTGATTTGAGTGAATCCCATATTTCCTTTTGTGTCTTAATCCCTCTTCTGATTTCCAGGCCTATATTATCCAAAGGCCTGCTGGACAGCTTTAAATGGATGTTCTGCCATCATCTAAAACAACACCTGCAAAACTGGACTCATTTTAGCTCATTAATCTATCCATTTAATGCAATGCCAATGAAAATCCAGAGTGCATTTTGTGAGGGGGGTTGGGGAATAGTATGTCTAAACAATTGTAAAGTTCATCTAGAAGAATCAATGTACTACGAGCCCTACCAGATGTTAAAACATATTATGAAACCACAGTTTTAAACAATCAGATCAATGTAAAATAATAGAAAGTCCAGAATTTGACCAACGTGTGTATGCATGCACGTATGTATGTATGCATTCATATCCATATATATGCATGTGCACTTAAAATAGCTGGAAGAAGGCTAGATTATTCAATAAATAGTGTAGGGGCAATTGGAATTTTTTTATACTTCTTAAAGCAAAATAAATTTCAGGTGAAATAAATATCAAATTATAAAAATGAAGCAATTAGAATACCAGAAGGGGCATATTAAAGTAATTGTAGCACAAGGAAGGCATGACACAAAAGACAGAAACCATAAAGGAAAGAACTGGTAGACTTGACAATAAAAAAAATTATAAACAAAAATTATGACCTCAGATAGCCCCAAAAGCCAAATTAAAAAGTAATCAATAAACTGGAAAATACAGTATATCATGAACAGGGCTCTTTAATATTAATAAAATAAAAAGAAACAAAATGGGCAAAAAAAAATTCTTATTCTATCTCTCTTTATCTCATGCACACACATGCACAGATAAAAACAAGTATATATGGTATGATTCCATTTATATAAAATGTCCAGAAAAGACAAATGTATAGAGACAGAAAGCAGATCAGTAATTGTCTGAGGCTGGGGTTTGGGAGTGAAGGCTGACTGCAAACAGACTCAAGAGAAACTTTTGGATGAAAATGTTCTAAACTGGATTTTGGTTATGGTGATGGTTGTAAAACTACAAAATTTTATGAAAATCATTGAATTGTACACTTACAGTGGATACATTTTATGGTATGTGAATTAGACCACAATAAAGCTGTTAAAATTTTAAAAGGCAACAGTAGAGAACTGTCTCTATGCTTGATCAAATGAAATATACATCTTATAGATAAATGGAATAGTTAACATGTTATTGTTTGAATTACTTTTTAGGGAGACATTACAAGGTCTTATAAAGACGGTCCAGTCTAATTTTCTTATTTTGCAGACAGGAAAACTAAAACCCAATGAGTTAAATGTTTCCCCTCAAATCACATAATCCACTAGTAGATCTAGGACTTGCACCCAGATTGCTTGACTACTAGTAGCCTGATGTTCAGCACATTTTGCCATACTCTTTCATGACAGTGCACCTATAATGCTCTATAACTAAATAGACTAGAATTCCAATGGAAAAAAAACAATCATTTACTTAACTATAATTTATGGATTGTTGTAATAAGCAACATTTCCAAATGTGAGAAATCACTATTGTTGTAGATGAATGTCCCTTTTTGTGATGTCTTGATGTGGTAGACTGTTTAGGTGGAGGCATTAAAAATAAATCTATTTCTTTTCGAATGCTTGGCCAAATGTTTTTAGTACTTTAGATTTGATATGCTGTAAGCAGAAAAGCAATAAAAGTGCATCAAATTTACAGAGGCTATTATTAGGAGGTGCAGCATATAAAGTACCTTGAGAGCTTTCTTCAGATAAACAGATAGATACTTCATCATTTCTATCATTATCCTCTACAACATCAGGCCCAGCTTCCTCTCCTGGTGTGAGTGCAGACAAAGATCCAGACTCAGGCTGCTCAGAGAAATCAGCAGGGCCTCCTCTTGGAGGTGGAACTTCAATTCCCATCAAGCGATATTTCCTTCTTCGATTTCCAATCCAAGTCTTTATAAGAGCAAGACAAAAGAAAGTTTTGAAATCATAGAAAGTTTAGCAGTTCTAGCCATTAAAATAATTAATGGATTCTGTGTAAAATATGATTTAGAAAGGGTAAATAGGTATTAGAATAATGAAATTTTTATTACCATTTAATATGCTGTGATAAAAATAATTGTTTTCCTTTAAAATATCTTATTAGCAGAAATATATTTATCTAAATATATAGACTTTCAAGAAACATGAAGTCCATTAACAGTTCACTTTTACTGTTGTTCTTTTTTTTTTTTCGTGGAGAAAATAATCCGCCAAATCTTTCAAAAGAAAAATGAATTGGTTATTTTCCCAAAGGAAACATGCATACAGCTATAACTATAGTTCATGTTCTATTTCCAATCTTGCCTTTTCTAGGTGAAAATATGAACTCTATTACCTTTGTTTGGCTCTATAATTGTTACCTTAGTGTTTCAAGTATTCTGAAATATCATTTTATTTAAAAGCAATTTTTAAAAACTTTTCATATTGAAATAACTTTAGTTACAGGAAGTTGCAAAGATAGTATAAAGAGGTTCCATGCATCCTTCAGTTTCCCCAATTTATTTTTACTTCTTAAATAATTATAGCACAATATCAAAAACAGGAAATTTACATTGTACAATGTGTATTTATAGTTCTAATGTCTCTTTATCACATCATTCCTCCTCCTTCCCTTTCCACCATACCTAACTCTTGGTAACCACTAATCTGTTTTCCATCTCCGTAAACTTGTCATTTTCAAAATGTTATACAAATGGAATAACACAGCATGTGAACTTTTGAAAGTGGCTTTTTTTCACTCAGCATAATTCCCTGGGGATTCATCCAAGTTGTTTTGTGTTGAAAATAGTTCTTTCTGTTTTATCATCAAGTAGTATACCACGATTTGGTATGTATAAAAGTTTGTTTAACCATTCATCAGTTAAAGGACATTGGGGTTGTTTCCAGTTTTCAACTATTACGTCAATAGTTGTTATGAATAATTGTATACAGTTTTTTAAAAAATTATTTAAAAAATGATTGTGGTGAAATATACATAACAAGAAGTTTGCCATCTTAACTATATTTTAGTGTACAATTCAGTGACATTAATTACATTCACTATGTGGTGTTGCCATCACCACAAACTATTTCCAAAAGTTTTACATCACTCCAAACAGAAACTCAGTATCCCTTCAGCAATAACTCCCATTCCCTCCTCCCCACAGCCCCAGGTAACCACTAATATACTGTGGTCTCCATGTGCTTGTCTATTCTGGACATTTAATACAAATGGGAGCATACAATATTTGCCCTTTTGTGTTTGATTTACTCACTCCCAACAATGTTTTCAAGGTTCTTGCGTGTCATAGCATGTATCAGAACTTCATTTCTCGTTATGGCTGAATAACTTTCCATTGTTTGTATATACTACATTTTGTTTGTCCATTCATCTGTTGATGTACACTTGGGTTGTTTCCACCTTTTGGCTATTGTGACTAATGCTGCTATGAATAGCTGGGAACAGATTTTTGTGGAGACATACGTTTTCATTTCTTCTGGAAAAATATCCAAGAAAGTAGTTGCTGAGTCATATGATAATTGCAAGTTTAGTTTTAGAAGAAACTTCCAAACTGTACCATTTTATGTTCCTACCCACAATGTGTGAGAAATCCAGTTTCCTTCTTTCCTTCCTTCCTCCCTTTCTTTATTTCTTTCTTTCTCTCTCTCTCCTTCCTTCTCTCTTCCCTCCCTTCTTTTCTTCCTTTCCTTTTCTTTTAGGTGTGTGTAGTGATATCTCATCATGGTGCTAATTTGCTGTTTCTTGTGAATAGTGAAGGAGCCCTGGTGGTAGAGTGGTTAAGCACTCTGCTGCTAACCAAAAGGTCAAAGGTTTGAATCCACCAGCCCCTCTGCAGGAGAACGACGTGGTAATCGGCTTCCACATAGATTTACAGCCTTGGAAATCCTATGGGACAGTTCTACTCTGTCCTGTAGGGTCTCTATGAGGGAGAATCGACTCGATGGCAATGAGTTTCATTTTAGGTAGTGAATAACGACATTGAACATCTTTTCATGTGCTTATTTGGCATCCATATAGCCTCTTCAGTAAACTCATTTTCAAATTTATTTTTTTGTTTGTTTTTAATGTTGGGTTTTGAGAGTTCTTTATATATGCAACTCCATTAGATTTTTTTTTTGGTCAAAAATGTGGTTTGCAAATATTTTCTCCCAGTCTGTAGCTCTCATTTTCATCCTTTCCACAGGATATTTTGCAGAGTAAAAATTTTTAATTTTGATGACATACACAGAGTCCCTATACCAAAAAGAATTGGTTGATGTTCAACCATTTCAGGAGGTAGCATAAGATAATGAACAAATGGTACTGAAGGAAGAAGTCCAAGCTGCACTGAAGGCAGTGATGAACAAGGTTCCAGGAATTGACAGAATACCAACTGAGATGTTTCAACAAATGGATGCAGTGCTGGAAGCACTCATTCATCTATGCCAAGAAGTCTGGAAGACAGCTACATGGCCAACCAACTGGAAGAGACCCATTTTTATGCCTATTCCAAAGGAAGGTGATCCCACCGAATGTGGAAATTATTGAACAATATCATTAATATTACATACAAGTAAAATTTTGCTGAAGATCATTCAAAAGAGGCTGCAGCAGTACATCCACAGGGAACTGCCAGAAACTCAAGCCAGATTCAGGAGAAGATATGGAACTAGAGATATCATTGATGATGTCAGATGGATCCTGGCGGAAAGCAGAGAATACCAGAAAGATGTTTGCCTGTGTTTTATTGACTATGCAAAGGCATTCGACTGTGTGGATCATAACAAATTATGGATAACATTGCAAAGAATGGGAATTCCAGAACACTTAATTGTGCTCATGAGGAACCTGTACACAGACCAAAAAGCAGTCTTTCGAACAGAACAAGGAGATATACTTCGTGGACCAATAAGCAAAGTCATGATAAAAGGAGAAAAGATTGAAATTGTCAAGGATTTCATTTTACTAGGATCCACTATCAACATCCATGGAAGCAGCAGTCAAGAAATCAAACGACACATTGCATTGGACAAATCTGTTGCAAAAGACCTCTTTAAAGTGTTAAAAAGCAAAGATGTCACCTTGAAGACTAAGGTGTGCCTGACCCAAGCCATGATGTTTTCAATCGCCTCATTATGCACAGGAAAGCTGGACAATGAATAAGGAAGACCGAAGAAGGATTGACACCTTTGAGTTGAGGTGTTGCCGAAGAATATTGAATATATCATGGACTGCCAGAAGAAAGAACAAATCTGTCTTGGAAGAAATACAGCCAGAATGCTCCTTAGAAGCAAGAATGATGAAACTATGTCTCACATATTTTGGACATGTTATCAGGAGGAATCAGTTCCTGGAGAAGGACATCATGCTTGGTAAAGCAGAGGGTCAGTGAAAAAGAGGAAGACCTTCAAGGAGCTAGATTGACACAGCGGCTGCAACAATGGGCTCAAGCATAAGAACGATTGTGAGGATGGCACAGGACAGGACAATGTTTTGTTCTGTTGTACATAGGGTCACTATGAGTTGGAACCGACTGGATGGCACCTAACAACAATAACAACAACAAATCTATCCCTTTTTTCTTTTATAGATTACATTTTCGGTGATATATCTAAGAAATCATCATCAAGCCCTAGGTCCAGAAGATTTTCTCCTATGTTATCTTTTAAAAGTTTTATAGTTTTATGTTTTACATTTAATCTATGGTCTATTTTCAGTTTATTTTTGTATAAGGTGTGACATATCCAATTGAATATCCAATTGCTTCAGCACTATTTCTTGAAAAGACTATCCTTCCTGTATTGAATTGCTTTTGCAAGTTTGTAAAAAATCAGTTGGTTCTACTTGTTTGGGGGCTATTTCTGGGTTCTCTATTCTGTTTCATTGATTCAGGTGACTATCCTTCTACCAATATCACTGAGTCTTGATTATTGTAGCTATAAAACAAGCAAACAAAAATGCCAAACTCATTGTCTTCGAGTCAATTGTAGCTATATAATGTCTTAAAATCAGGTTCCTTCCACTTTTTTTCCCACAGACTTGTTTCAGCTATTTTTGTTACCTTACCTTTCCATGTAAATTTATGAATTATCTTATCTATAATTACCCACCAAAAATTGTGTTAAACTTGTATGTCAATTTGGGGAGAATTGACATCTTTATTACGTTGAGTCTTCTAATCCACAAACACAGAATGTCCATTTACTTAGAACTTCTTTGATTTCTTTCATCAGCATTTTGTACTTTCCAGCATACAAGTCCTGTTCATGTGTTGTTAGATTTACACTTAAACATTTGATGTTTTTGAGTGACTGTAAATGGTATTGTATTTTTGGGGATTAATTTGTCTTCTTTTCCTTCCATATTAACTTTAAAAGATTTATTTATATTTTTGTTGTCTAGAATATATACAGGAAAACGTATACCAATTCAATAGTTTCTGCATGTACCATTTAGTAACACTGATTACATTCTTTGTGTTGTACCACCATTCTCACCCTCCTTTTCTGAGTTGTTCCTCTCCCATTAACATAAGTTCACTGCCCCTAAGGTTTCTATCTTATCTTTGGGGTTGCTGATGTCAGTTTGATCCCATATAGATAGTTCTTAAAACAGCATAATGCTCAAAGTAGACATTTTTTACTAGTTAAGCTAAACTATCATTCAGTTTTAAGAAGACTTCAGGGGATATTTTTGGTTTAAGGTTTAAAGATTATCTCAGGGCAATAGTTTCAGGGTTTCATTCACCCTCCATGGCTCCAGAAAGTCTAGAGTCCATGAGAATTTTAAATTCTATTCTGCATTTCCCCTGTTTTGATCAGGATTCTTCTATGGAATCTTTAATCAAAATGTTCAGTATTGGTAGCCAGGCACCATACTGTTCTTCTGGTCACATGACAAAGGAGGCAGTTGTTCATGGAGCTGATTAGCC